GAAATCATGATCTAACCGTTCTTAATATTTTCAAATTTTGATCAGAACACGAGATTTTTATCGATAACGAGAGTAAGTAGAGCGGGAGAAGAAAATGGTTGTGGGTGACAGAGAGAGAGAGAGAGGGAGAGAGAGAGAGAGAGACGCAGCCAGAGAGTAAGAGCGCTCGAGAGAGAGAGAGAGAGAGCGAGAGAGAGAGAGAGTGAGCGAGAGGGTAAGTGAGATAGAGAGAAACTGAGAGAGTAAGAAGGCTCTAGAGACAGCGATAGAAAGAGAGAGAGAGAGAGCTAGCGAGAGATAGTTAAACGAAATCTAGTCTTATCCAAAAAACCACCCAAATACTTTCCACCCAAATACTTTACCAGAGCAGACCGTGACTTTTGCGGGGGGTTACCCGGGTGTTGGAAGGGGCCGTAAACAACACGATATACGGACGTGTGCGCGGTGCACAGCACATGGAATCGTCCTCGGCAATTATGGCGCGGTGAGCGAGGGGTGGAAATGGCGCGCGGGTCCTGGGAAAATCTTTTTTGCTTTCATCCGGTTTAGTGGCTTGATTTTTGGGTGTTTACGTCTTAGGGAAGCGTGTCAAGGTTTGTACGATTTTTGGGGGTTGTGAATCACTGGTCAGGCCGTGGTTCGAGAGTTAGTAAGAAGCTTGAGGTTAAAACCCAGCCTTAGGAAGACAAGATTCCGATGCAAATTTCCTAGCTCAAGGAAAGATACAAGTTCCGACACGTTCCCATGTACAAAAAACCGACATAAAGCCAGAATTTAGGCCCAGTAAATGCGGAGGGTTTGCCGAAAATGGCAAAAACGTGTGTTTAGAGTGGAGGGCTTGCCGATGGAAGCGGGGGGAAAGTGGGGGGGAGGAAGGGCTATGGCTCGGGCTCGACTGGGCCAGCTGGCCGAAGGACATCGGCTCTGACCCAATAAAATTGAGCGACTCCAAGCCGAAAAGGTATATGTGGTGGGAGGGATGGGATGGTTGGGTGCAGAATATATAAAAATACCCGTTCAACTATTCAGTTTATCGATTTCAGGTAATATGGGGAAAATGTTTGCGAAAATTCGGGTTTCTATAACTCTTAATTAACGGAGAGGTATTGAAAATTTTAGAAAATGATAAAAGCCATTGCATCGCAACAAAATGGTCCAAGATAAGCAAAAAACTCAGTATTTTTTATGTTTTCTTAGAACAATGGGAATGATTTTGTATTTAAGTAGTCTATGGCCTAAAATCACACTTCAAAAACTTCAAAACTCGGGAAAATCAAGCAGTAACTTCCGTAAACCCCCGTCCCAAAAATTCGCCTATATTTGGGAGTTATGGCGAGGAGTCGTCCGGAGTTTTCGGAGGGGCGCCGGCCATTCCCAGCGCTGCACCCCCCGGCTGGCGAAATAGCGAACGGCCAGCGGAGAAATTATCGGGCGCGCCGGCCAGAGCCTTCTGGCCAGCTGCCGCTCTCTTTCAAAAAGGCTCACTCTCACATTGGCCGGGGCGGGCAAAAAAGGTGGCGTAAGCGGTTCGTTAAAAAGTCAGTGATATTGGGTCTGGGGTCTGAGGGGAGGAGGGAACGGGAAGAAATGTTTGGGGAGGCGTTAAAATTGGGGGTAAGGGCGTGCTATTTTTCTCTGCGTCGGAATCTTTTCTTAAAGGGGTTCTAAGGGTAGAGCTTCACTAGAAAAAGTCAGCCCGGTCGAATTACAGCCTTCATACAGGGTGGCTGAAAAGTTCCCGCAATTTCTTGATACTGTTAAATGGACTGGAAATTCCTAAAATTCTAATGAGGTAGAGAACTTATGGTAACTAATAGCTTAATTAAGACGTAAAGAACAAATTGCAAAACAAAAATCCACAATAAATCTTCACAGCTTCCCTCAGACGCTTCGATACAAATGCGCATACGCCTTGAAAAGTTGTCTCCCATGGTCGCGCCCTCTGCCGCAATAATCAAGGCCTAGCACTTTCCAGGGCTGTTTTAAGGAAATTCACTGTAGTGAACCGTTTTTCTGAGCTCTTTTGCTACAAAATGGTCGAAACCGAAAGATAAAAAAAATTGAATCCACTGAGTTGGAGGCCCAAACATCAAAGCCGCAAAAACCCGATTACAACTTTCCCCAGAGGGTGATAGTTGAACGGGCCGGAAAACCTGGTGTCCAGTCTTGCTTAAGCGTGAAAACGTTTTAACTAAAAGATTACTTAATTCATGGCTCTGAAACGATCCTAAGGCCTTGATATTAATGCTCGGCGACTTCGATTTTTACATTATTTTGAACGAAAACGGTTTAAGGGTTGCTGGGGCTCTAGATTCCTACTCAAATCATCAAAGTTCTCGGAAAACGGGAATGATAAACCAAGACACTTCTATTAACCGTTTTTGAAGAGTTTACGATGATTTTTTGATTTCCGGCTCGATTCTATAGTGAAAACATTGACGCCTCCTGGGTCACTGGGAGGGCGCGACCATGGCCGGCAATTTCCCCGGCTGCCTTCGCGCTTCTATTCAGCTACTGGTGGAATTCGTGAACATTTCTTGCGGGTTTTTGTGTTGTAATCTGTTGATTACGTAGTAAATAAAGTTTCTGTCGCCTTACCTCAGCCAAATTTTAGGAATTTTCCGTCTATTGACCAGCTAGAAGAAATTGCGGGAACTTTTCAGCCACCCTGTAGACCCTTTAAAAATTTCTTAGCTAATAAAACAACGGAAACACGGGAAAGTACCCTTATTCCAATACTAACCGCTCCTCGTAACCCCGGAAATATTGAGGAACATCACAGGCAGCCATATATGCAATGAGCGCCGGAAAGCCAGAGCCTCACCCCCATAATCCCCATTCCCTCACCCGATTCGGCTTAGGGCCCACCCCCTTCAGCCCGGCGTTGTTGTTTTGGATGCAAGATCGTGGGGATCCTTGATCTCGGCTTATGCAATACCAAAGTGCTCTTCCTTTTTCCGCACTATCTGTTCTCAAAAGACGATGACAAACATCAGATTATACCCCCGAATTCTGGGCTCCACCAGATACCCGTAAAACCAAAATGTTCCAGATTCGCTTCCACGGACTACAAAAAACCCTAGATCCATCATCCCCCTGGGAGCACCAACGATTTACGTACCGTAACACAAGGTCACCACCCCCACCCCTAAATACGCGAACCCGCGGGACCCTCCGTCACGTTTTTTGCAGCTCAACCTGGGCCATCTGTACCCCCGCTGGCGCCCGCGCGCATTAAGAAATATGCAAAAACGGATTCTGAGCGTTGCTGAGTCGACACGCGCGTCTTGCTCAAAAAACTTGGGGCGCCGATCCCAGGGGCTGCAACAAAAGTTGCGGCTCCCCGGTGACATGATAGAAACACATATACAAAGAGATTGAGGGGGAGAAAGGAGGGGAGGAGGAGGATGTGTGTGTGTGTGGCTCGGAAAATGGAATGGGAACGGCGGATGGGGTGTGGAAATGGGAGGGTGGAAGGATGGGGGAGGAGAGTTGTCAAAAAAGGGCCCATGCGAAAGGAAGGGCAAATTTTTGTGGTGGAAAAACACAGCTGCGTGGCGAATTAGGGGAATGGTGGGTTTTGAGAGGATTTTAAAGGGTTGGTGAAGGCTGGGATGCTCTAAATTTTGGGTTTAATAAAGCTAAAAGTTGAGGTGATTCCGCTAGAACTTTCCCTTTAAGCTTTCCGAACACCTTTAAAAATGGCACCCATAATTATAGCCAATCGAAAAACAGCAAACCCCGAACTACAAACAAGTATGCACTAGCACAACTGCAACCGCCAAGCTCAAAATAGCTATCCCATCCTTCCCCTCCACCCCCCTTATAAGCCGACGATTTCCATAACATAATCATAGCCCAATATTTTGATAAACACGCCGCGACACCAACTCCCAGTCCGCCCCCCAGCCCCGTTCCGTGGCCTCTCCATCCCAAAAATTGACAGTTGTTATCACTAGGCCGGACTTATCGCTGACTCACACGAATGAATATTTGGCTTTTGCTGGGGGGAAAGTAGTAACGGGGAGATATTTTTTGGAGAGTCATGAAACCAATTTTAAATGGGATAATCATAATGTCATGGAGTCGAAAATCGTAATATCGAAATTCGATGTCCAATTCATAACGTCGCAATTTCATAATGTCAAAATTTCATAATTTTGGGCATGAGATTCGGGGGTTTTTCCGGGAAAATTGGCTTATGTAAATTTCGACATTCTGAATTTCGACATTATCGGATGTCGACTTGAAATTTCGAAAATGTGAAACTTAGACATTATAAAATTTCGGCATTCTGAAAATTCGGCATTAGGAATTTCGACACATTGACAACCCCGCTTTCTTTGCATCAGATTGAGAAATCCATGGAAGATCGCAACGCATCCATTCTGCACATGAAAAAACCTTTATTCCACCGCCAATATCGGCGTTATTTACAACGGCGGCTGTGAAAAGGACAATATAGACCATCAATAATTGAGTCGACATTTCTGGGACACCGGCAAAAGTGAAGCGGGGGAGCTGCTGATGGATGGATGGCAAGGAGGATGCGAATGGAAAGGATATAACGGGGAGCAGAGGGGGGCTATTAAATGGCTATTATAAGAAAAGAAAACATAAACACAACGACAAATGGCAGCATATATTCGGGGGTTATGAAAGTTTTTTTGTGTGTGTGTGCCTCTGTGTGCATATATTACCCGATAATGGCAAGAAATGGGGGCGATGTCGCTTGAAAGAGCTTTTAAATTCAGGGCTAAAAAACAACAGATTTCGCGCATAGCGTTAAAAATTCGAAAATAGGGATTCCGGAGGGAAATTCCCCGGGATTAAAGAGATGCTTGGATTAGAACAAAATCACCCGAGGCCAAAAAGTGCGGATATATTGAGCGGGAGATCAAAGATAGGGGGGTTTGGTGAAAATTGGGATGGAATTCTGGGGGGATTCTGGGGATGGGTACCTATAAAAAGCAGGAATTTTGTGGGAGTTGGGGGAACTAATAATTTAGAAGTGGCTCTAGGTCTGGGAATCGGGTGCAGCGACAATTCGGGGTATGGCCCGTGTGCTTCCATTTGCCCTTGCAGTAGATGGACTCGCTGTGGGTGAATAGCCAGAAATTGGAGAGGCCGATCTCGACGTCACCGCGACACCTGAAAATAGTGAATGTCATAATTGCAAGTTACTTAAGGGATATGGAAGTTTGAATCTCTCTCACACTCTCGCTCTCTCTCTCTCTCTCTGACTTGCACTCGCTTACTACTCTCGCTTTCTCCCGCTACCTCTAGCTAATTGGCCCTCTCTTTTTCTCGATCTCTCTCACTCTCGCTCTCTCTCTCTCTCTCTCTCTCTCTCTCTCTCTCTATCTCTCTCTCTCTCTGACTTGCACTCGCTTACTACTCTCGCTTTCTCCCGCTACCTCTAGCTAATTGGCCCTCTCTTTTTCTCGATCTCTCTCTCTCTCTCTCTCTCTCTCTCTCTCTCGCTCTGACTTCCTCGTCGACTCCCATGCAAAAAAAATGCTTCGTGCTTCCTCAGCAACATTCTACCACTCCCAGACCACTTACCAAAAACATATCCTATAAATCACTTCACCGACTCCCCTATTTCCCACCAAAAACTTCTGATCTATAGATTTACGCGCCAAAAAGCCCCCATAAATTAGCCCACCGATTTTTGTGAGTCATGCGAACCGTGGCCGGATGGCACTCGGCGCAATACCGCTTCCCGGCCACTAATTTTTTCGACATAATGAACATGAGGCATCTGGGGGACGGATACACCATTTCCATCTCGTATTCATCACAATAGCTGGAAATTAAGGCATGAAAACAAAGCGCGAAACACTTACGGTTGTAAGTCAGGGTCGGTTTCATTTGGAAAACTTCTGCTTGTTGTGTAGCTGTAGTCGATCAAATGGGCAGATTCTAAAAATTACATTATATGGTTTTTGAAACGTTTCTAAAGTTTAGGACTTGTTAGACAATCGCGCAAGGCCACAAGACGAATCAGCGAATCACGGGGTTCAATTACGCAAGTCCAAACCTTTCACTTTGACCAGCTCTGCTTTGACGACTACTTGAAAAGGTATAGGGCTTTAAAGGGGCGTATCTAGTAGATACTTACCATCTTCAGCACACGTTATCCAGCAGGAGGCCATTGCTAGGGTTGGCTCGCATTCTCGACCTCCGCCATAGGCTTCAGCAAGGATTTGGCGGGTTTGGTTCATTTTGCCGAGTCCGCAGGCTCCCTAGAAATTTTTGGGAATAGCGGATTCTACATTAATTAGCCGATACCACAGAATACAACTTACTTTATCAGGTATACAACGACTCCAAGGTGACCAAGGACCTTCTTGACAATCTCGGGCTAAAATTTTGTAATATTAAATTTTTAAGGCTTACGTGGACATGTCTCATAGTGATCCGAACAACAATCACCCCTTTTTAGACAGTCTTCATCGCAGTAGCAACGTGTTTGAGGTGGTTTCTAAAAATAACACTTTTCCCTGTGTTATAGCTCAATTTTTGCTTGAACAAAAGTGTTGGGAAATAGCACGGGGGGTTGGTTAGAAATCAGGAAGCCTGCAGGCCGGCTAGCTCGCATTTCCGGGGGATGTCGGCAGCATTCGGCCAAGATATACAAAAGCACACAACGGATAGTATTCACGCATACCTTGACTCCCTTGTTTGGACACTTGGGTTTGGCAGGCTGACAAAATTTTTTGAGTTAGAAAATGCGTTTTTGATTTGATGATTTCAAAAGTAACGGCAAAGCCTTAAGCAATTATAAACCTTTAAAAATACATACAATCTGAAATTGATTTCGACAAAATGACAAAAAATACTTACAAAACCTAATTGAGTTACTTACCTCCAAGTATTGTAATGGTGGCAAATCTTCGCTCTCATCCCGGAAATACCACGAATACGGAACGTGTTTTTGCAAGACGGCATACCTTAAAACCCCTTTTTTTGCAGAATACAGTAACCCACTTAATTGCCTTTTTCTTCTCTGGCTCATCCATGGGATATCCACGAGTCTCCGGAGAAGGATTTGTTTCCTTCTCATCCCCAAATATTAAAAATCTTTCAAAGTGCTGAAAACATATGCAAAGTCTGCAAAATTTGCAAAATATTTCCTACCGGCGCGGGGGTTGTTGTTGATCTTGCTTCTTCCCCTAGATGTTCAATAGCGAAACTTTCGGATTTAACTTACGACTTTTTCTCCCCACTGTTGGAGCAGCAGGTTTTATTAAAAAGCCGACACCATCAAATTCAAGCTAAAGAACATAGGTTATAATTTTAAAAAGAAAATTACATGATGCCAAGGCCATTCTGTAGGTTTGAGCATTGGATCCTGTTTTTCAAGAAGATTTTGATGCTCTTGATCATCAGGTTTATAATCAGGAGGTGCTAAAATGCAAATTTATCTCGTGAAATTTTTTTAAATTTGCATACCAGGCGGAGTTTCATATGCCCAGCACTCGGTTTGCCTGCCTTTGCAGCATAGATTCCGTTCTTGGCATCCAGGCCAAACTGTTGGGAGTGATATCGCAAATATTGTAATTAGATAGCTGCTACGAAAACTGGGTGGCATCTGGAATTTGGAAATTAGAGAGAGAGAGAGAGAGAGAGAGGGGGAGAGAGAGCGAGAGAGAGGGAGAGAGATAGCGGAGATTGAGGGAGAGAGACGTATAAATTCAGGCGTGATCTGAAGTCCCACCCCCTCTGAAAAACCGCAACTCTCCCAAAAAACCCCAAAAAAATTCTTGCAGCCAGCCCAAAAAGCCAAAATCTGAATAAAGCGATATGGCGGCACCCGAGTTCCATGATGAGATGAAGCATCCGTCCCCTGGGACGCGGGGCACAACAAAAACACGCCGTAGGGCCCATGGGCACCCCATGCACAACCAAGGCCTTCTTCAACCCCCCTTCCACCACTCAACCATCCACCCTAGCCACTCTCAACTACTCATCCATCCCCTTTTCCAGGATGCTACCTGGGTTTTGGCCTGGTGGATGGATCGGTTTTGAGGAGAGGTGTTAGCGAAAGAAAAAAAATGCAAGAATATTGAAATTCAAAGAAGTTCCTGGGCTTTAAAGTGATCGGGAAGCAAAAAAAATACTAATATCCAGCTTATTAAATCGGTTGTAAACTCTTATATAAATTTAAGATCACCAAAAGTGATATAAAACCAAACAAATACAACAAATTCAAATTCAAAGAAGTTATGAGAGTTTAAAGAGACCGGGAAGTCGAAAACACGTAGCAAAGAGGGTATTAAGCAAACTGGAAAAAACGTCTAGAAATCTAGAAGATCTAGAACCCCTCAAACGACCTTTTAAAAGAAAATTTCATTTTTTCCGGATTCAGACATGGCAACACCCTTGCCTCAACCTTATCACTAGCCGAAAAACCGAGACTAGGTTGTAAACTCGTCAACTTCACGGGATAGACGCTTTTAAGAAGATCCAGAGGTTCCGATTGGCAAAGAGTAGCATGGTGTAGTACGACAAGAAACTTCATGGTAACATCATTCGCTTGGGGGGTCGTTGCAGGGCCCCTCCCCTCCCATCTAGGGCCACAAACGTCAGAAATCACATTTTGGGGCCCGGAATCCCGGGTGGTCGTAGCTATCGGGCCGTTTAATCGTGGGGGCCATCCTATTAGTGAGGGGTGGGGGCGTGGAATGGTTGTTTTAGAGGGAGGAGAAGCACGAATACTATCAGAGAGGTCCCGGGGGTGGAATATTTTCGGATTAGGCGTTCGGGAGCTGGTTTGGGATGTTAGAGTTTCGGGGGCAGTACGCTATTGGGATAGTAGTAAAGTACAGTAAACAGACTTAGTTTTAGAGCAAATCCACTAGCTAGTTAAACTTGAAAACGGAACCGAGAGGTTCTACCTATTTTTTGGACCGTGCCGTCAGTAAAAAATAAAACTATTCGGTTTCCAAAGGTTTGTTCCAAAGAAAACACACAATTTTTTAAACTGAAAAATCCAAAAACCAAACGTTATATCGTAAAACGTTATAACCTACAACGACAAGTAAATAAGTCAGAATTTCTAGAAAACAAATTATCGTGGTATAAAACTGAAAAAATCTTTAAAAAAACTACCTAACCTGAAAATTCCGGTTCTTTACTGTACCCTAAAAAGAACGAAGTACAGTAACCCAAACAATCTAGAGAACGCTTTAAATAAGATATGGAAACTTCAAAACCCCCCAACCAACGGTCAACTCCCCAAAATCGCCCCTCCCCACGCAATGAAAACTGGCCGGTCCTTCGCAACATGTTTATTGCCTCAAACAAACCGTAAAATAGCACTCAACCCACCCACGGCATAACCGGACCGGATCCCTCGCCCGATGCTTTGACTTTTTGATTGGCCGGCACGTGTATCATGTGCATCTACAAAATCCCATTCTATCCCGGCGAACACAACTATTCCAAGCTCCCGTTCCGGCCCACAAAACAGCTGAATGCAAATGGGGGACCCGGGGGTTTTCCTTTTTTGGCGATTTTTGCCGCGGCGGCGGAATGTCTTTGGTGCGGGAAAACATGTGTTTGCATGCCATGGCTATCATGGCTATGCGGTGACACAAAAGGCGGCGAGTTTGACCCCTGGGGAGCACTAATTTTGGGGAGTAACTTTTGAGGGATGGCCTGGGAAATCGTCGTTTACGATGAGGGGCTATTTGAGGATGACATTTTTGAGCATCGTGTATTCTAAAAAATGCCCGAAACCGTATCTGTTCAAAAATAAACGCTCAAAAATCACATCACATGACAAAAATTTCCCAGACTAGCATTTTCAACTGCAAATTTGGCTTTTCAGATAACCTATTCTAGCGTGGGAGCGTGACAGGTTCATTCGGATCATCAGAAAATTTCAATCACATCAAAAACATCTTAAAAATCACATTTCCCAAAAAATCCGTCTGGCGCCAACTAACACCACTGGCAACATCCCAAACAAGAAACCCTATTCACGGTCGAGAAAAATAAGGGTGGATGACTGAGCCGCGGGGAGCATGACTCAAAAGACTCGTAAAACTTGTACAATTGCCGAGAGTATGAGTATCAAAAGCAACACTTTGTAACAAAGCCCAAAAAATAGCAAGAAAAATAGGCACACGGCCTTGGCTCGGTCAGACCAGGCTATATAAGTCGTGAGGGCAACGAAACCGAATTTTGAGTAGCTGTTTTGTAATTGAAAGGCGGGGTGACGCACCGGGGACCGGTTACTCAGCCCACCGGAACCGGTATAATCCGAAACGATGGTTTCTGAGGGAACAGAAGAACATATAAAATCTATGCAAACAAACGGGGGTCCGGGCAAATGCGCTAATGACCTGCTACCAAGCGATAAAGTTTAGGGCTCGCGCGCATTCGGAAGAGGGGCACGGGGGGGGGCTATCACCCTGGGAATGGTGTTGAGGGAGGTGAAGCTTAGAAATTTACATATATTAAAATTATTTAAGAAAACGAGAAGTATAGAAACATTAACGCTATAATTCGACCTAAGCCCAAGCTTAAGTCTAAGCCCCAAGCTGAAGCCGAGGCCGAAGCGGAAGCGGAAGCCGAAGCCGAAGCCTAAGCCTGAGCTCTAGCCTGCTTATGCCTAGGCCCAAGCATAAGCCAAGGCCCAAGCCTAAGCCTAGGCCCAAGCCTATGCCCAAGCCTAAGCCTAAACCAAGGCATAAGCCTAAGCCTAGGCCCAAGCCTAAGCCTAAACCTAAGCTATATTAATGGCATTTAGAACATCGAAATCCGAGATATCACATGCCACAGCGAAACTCGCAACACAAACATTCTGGCAACATGCCCAAAACCCATTCCACACCCAGCCAAACACCCATCCGGGCACTAAATGACCTCCCGTCAAGCCAATATCCTCCCTGATATATTGTGGATGGGGATGCCGTGACCGGAATGTCCCGAAAATTTACGACGAGCTGACCCGCGCGCGGAGGACAAGCTGGCGCCTTCGAGTGGAACACCAGCCCGAGAAGGAAACAATTACCCCCCGGATAGATGGGCACGATTGGTTAATCAGGAAGCGCAAAGCTAGACACCAGAAAATGGCACCAAAATGGTGCTGGGGAGTTAATTACCGGAACTGTAGTGTGTTCGGAATTTGTGATGTTTTAGAATAAACCGAATCCCATTGATTTTTTGACGGATTTCTTTTTCCGAAAGTTTTTATGCTATTATTTTATACTTATGCTAATGGCTGTTTTAAGAAATCGAATAATCAACTATTGAAATTGGCATATTTAAATTAGCATTAGTGGCTCGTCGTTCGTTTTTCGAAGTGGTGAATTTCGCGAAGTGAAAATCCGGGAAATGAAAATTCGACAAAATAAAATCGAAAAAATCAAATTTGGAAAAGAAGCACCAAATAAACCTACTAGCAACCTAATTATTACTTACCCGATCGACTAGGTCAACATCACCTCTCAAATCTAACCATATGCTTGAGGAGCTTGAGGCACTCGGTGCCGGGCATGACGACCCGCTCGACGGGTTGTGTACCGGCACGCGCAGCTGGGTTTTAACAAAAAACGCCACCGAAACGTTCGGGGACCCACCAAAAAACACAGCGGGATAAGCCGATGCGAAGGGGATCGAAGAGAAATCGCGTTAAACGTTTGAGAACGAAGAAAGAGAACACCAAACTCGAGCGATCGAAAGACTTTGAGTGACACGTTAGGCGAGAAAATTCACGCATTCAAATCGAACTCACCGAAGAAATAGACCCAAAAAACCAGCCGCTCAAACCCATATGGATCAGCTTAAGGTACCGGTTAATGAGCAATAGATCAGCTGCCCTCAGAATCGTCCCCCCCTGCGCGCAATTATGGTAATTGCCAACGTGGCGTGACCCTCAAAGAACCCACCGGTACCTAAATCCCCCTGCTTTATCCCTTATATTATAGTCTGCATGACCTAACAGCTATCTTAAGCATTTGGCATAGCGCTAAGGACCCACACGCCTACCGCTAAGGACAACCACCAGCTT